ATATATAAATCATACAAATGAATATACAAATCAGAACAGCTTTGGGTTAGTTGACTGATGAACACTGGCTTCAAATTTGGCAGGGCACGAGTTCGATTCCTGGTACTTGTAGTTTCAAAAAATTATTTACAAATAATTAAATACAAAAATTATTTCCAAAGACCATGGATATTTGGCCATACTCGAAACAGCTGTATGTTCAGCCAAAACTTTAATTGATTAAAATAATATAAAATGAATTTTTGTTGTTGTAGTTCACTATTGCTTGAATAACCTCTTTATGAAATGAATATCAAAATATTTTGCTTAAAACATTAACACAGGATGGTTTTGAAAATTTCCATTTAATTAAATTTAAATTGACAAATTAAGGAGCAAAATAATAATGTATTTGTTAAATGATTTATTATATCTTTAATAAAAATAAATATAATTTTAAAAATTATTGAAACACAGGTTAATATTAGTATTTAAATACATACAATCTTAATTGTTTAAACTAATTTTGAAAAGTTAAATCAATTATATTTAAAAAGCAAAAAATTTCAAGTTTCTATCATATATAGATCCTGAGATATAACCATTTAAAAACGTGTCTAAATGCTAATTGTCAAAGCTGCATCGGTTTTTATATCCTAGAAAAAAAATGCAAAATTTGTTCCTAAGATATAGGTCTTCTTAATGTGTGAAAGATGCTCATAAAAAATTTTCATCCAAAACGGAGGTGACGAAGTCATGTTTTGTCAAAATTCATCTAATTTGAAAGATCATCCAAGATGTTTTGCAAAACTTGTCAATAGTTTTTATATCTGTAACAGGTTAAATTAGTTTGTAGATATAAATTAGACTGAATTAGACTCAAATTATATTGAAATATATTAAATTGAATCAACTTTAAAGGAGCTTGATTGTCTGATAGTATTTATATAATTCTTTTCAATATATTAATCACTTCTAGATAAATTGTAGCTAGAGAATATATTTAAATTAATACATCAGTCAATAAGTCGTGTAACTGACACACAGATGGCGCTGCCATTGTCAAATCCATATGACGTTTTTGAAGTCACAAGTCAATAAAAACGATGGCAAAATTGCACGAATTACACTTCGAATTGCTTCCTTATCCACCGTATAGTCCAGATCTGGCCCCCAGCGAGTACTGGATATTGGTTGATCTCAAAAAAATGCTCGACGGTAAGAAACTTATCTCAAATGAAGAAGTAATTGTTGAAACTGAAGCCTATTTTGAGGTAAAAGACAAATCCTTCTATAAGCACGGCATCGAGAAGTTAGAGAAGCGTTGGAATGATTGTATTGCTCTTGAAGGAGATTATAATGATGAGTAAAATCGATTACTCTTATTGTCTTATTGACTGATGTATTATTATTTACTTCTTGACAAGCTATAGCTTTCTTAAACGCGATCACTTTTGCTTAAAAAAATATTGTAATGATCAGGAAGTCTGTAATATATAGATTATTTTAGTCCCTTCGAGTATGATGCCAACTGATTGCATGGTGGGTGTGCTCGTCAGATTGAATGAATTAGGTTATTTATATTATATTAATATTAATTATTTATATTAATGACTTTACTTCTTAATAAATTAATCACTATACTTTTTGGCTTTAATAAAAAAAAGTTGAAATAAGCAAAAGAATATATATAAATAAATTGTATATATAATTTTTTAACTTTTTTAAATTTTTGAAAAGTTGGTCTAAAAGTGATTTTATAAAAACTTAACTGAAAGTTGCACTACTTTTATAGTTCAAAGGATAAGATTCTTACAAAAACATCCATTCCATACCGGTGCTTTCATTTTGTAGTTTTTGTCCAATTCTAATAAACACAAAGTTGGAAGGCCATAAACAATGCTGTAATGTGACCAAGTGACATAAAAATACAATAAAAATCTAACAAAAGGCGTGGTCTCGCAGGTGCAATTGCCACAATGGCAGTTGCAACAGTAGCTGCCAGATTTGCGTCAAGCACTTTGCTGTTAGTTTCTTTACGTTTATGCATCAAGTGGGTCTAACGCCACAATTACTTTGCCTTTGTGAGAGAAAAGTTGCTTTATTGTAGTTGGTGACATCTTTTTCATTGTTGGCATTAGTTTTTGTGTTTTGTTATGTTGATTGTTGTGACGTTGCAACAAAGACGCTTACTTTGTTGCTTCATTAAGTAATTTGACTTTCATTTTACTTTCTCTAAGTAGCTTTCTATTTTGCTGGCAAAGTAGCGTAATAAAGTAGACCACAGTGCAACATTTCTTACACTGACATACTGACAAATATACGTATTTTACAATATAGCACATGGAGCATGACTTTGTGCAACATTTCTGTTATGAATCCGTGTTTTCTTCTGCATTTAATTTAAAAAGTTTAAGGAAAAAATATTGCAAAACTTGTAAGAAATGTGTTTAGATGCGTTTTGTGCGTGGTCAGAATTTTTTGTGCAACATTGTAAGCGCTTAAAAAATTTGTTATAACATAACATGTGCCAAGAGATAAAATAAAGCAAACTAAATAAACATACATATGTATATATGAACGCTACAATAGAAAGGGGTAAAGGGTAAAGTAATTGTAAAAGTTTTTAAAATATAAAAAGTTATATATAGAAAAATACATTGAAGGTTTTTGGTATGAATATACATATATACATATACAAAGAGAATATTGTATAGTTTTTGAAGACAGATACAATCTGTTATCTGTTCTTTTTTATTATGAACATTTGATTATAAATTAAATTGAAATCTTTTGTAATATATTTATATATATAATAAAATATATATTTATATAAAATTAATAAATAATAAGTATTAGATACAGTCTATAACTCAAATTTTCTATAATTCGAACTGAAAAGAGTGCAACAGGGTTTTAGAGAGCAATTTATATGCAGTTCTGCTTCGATAAATCGAACTTCTATAACTCGAATTTCTCTATAACTCAAATTAAAATATTGTCACGTGCCTATAGGAATAAGGGAAAGTGTGTTCCATAAGTCGAATTTTTGCATTAAGTATGAATCTCTGTGGTTTCGTTACAGTCCAGAAGGCAGTGTTATTTTATTTCAGGTACTTATTTACAATATTTACATGTAATGTCTGAACTATTCATATGCTCGAACGAGATGTTCGAACGCGATCTTCAAGTTGTTAGGGGAAGTCCCTTTTTCCAAATCCAATGTTTAAATTTTTCTTTTTTATGTTGCTTCTTTGATCAAAGCAGCAAGTCGCTGGCATTTCTGCAAATGCATAGAATTGGTATTTCTTCCCCTGAATATTACCTCTAAATTGCAACCGCTTGATCAGGAAGTAATTTAAAATTTTAAGTGTAACTATCGCAATAGATTCGTAAAAAAACACTAAAGCCTATAGAAGCAAACAAAAAAAAGAATATTATACTTATGGATTGCATAAATCATAATACAAAAGCTTGAGATATTGTTGTAATTAATCAGACGATAGCGCATTGCTTTAAAAAGGTTGTATTTGGCTAATTTTCTTTATTGGACGAACAGGACGAAATTTCTAAAAGGAACTAAATTTCTTTAGTTTTCTTGAATAACATTGATGAAGACCATAAATTGATGGGTCAGAATTATGAAGCGTTGTTTAAAGTAAATAAAATAATTTCCAATGCTACTCTTAACGATTATATTGAGCTTGACAACGAAATTTGTACATCAAGCTTTCCTACATATGACGATATTATTGAACATTGAAGCTCTAAATTAGTGAATATGATTCTAAGCGCAATGGAAAGTGATAATGAGGGTTCGGTGGATGAAATTGTTTATCACCTTTCCAAGAATGAAGGAGAAGCCTCATTTAAAATTCTGAATTTTTATTTGCAAACGAATGATATTACCACTGATGATCACTATAAGAGTATGAATAAATTAGAATCTATTTTTACTGAAAATAAGAAAAAAAAGGTAAATACCAAACCCTGATTTCAAATAAATAAACATTTTAAAATTTAATTCTAGTTTCTTTCAAAAATAAAAAAAAAATAAAAAAAGTCTCCACAAGTCGAACCTTTTCTTTGCAAAATGGTACTTCGAGTTATGGAAGTTTGAATGTATTTATATATATATATATATTTGAAATATATAAAATTTTGTTTTTCGTTACTATATATTGTTTATGATTAAATTTAAAATTTGCTAGTATAAAACTTTTTTTTTAATTTTTTAATATAAGTAAAGTACATCCACTATCTGTCTAAAATTTTAAAATAAACAAAAATTTATTTAAATTTTTAAACGCTAATCAATATAATGTAAAATGAATCTTAAGTTGTGCTTTTTATATTTACTATATTCTCATTTTATTTGCAAAAAAGTCAATAAAAATTTTTTGTTTATAGACAAAATTAATTTAAAATAAACTTTAAGTGTTGAATAACACAATGAAAATTTATAAACATTTACAGTCATTAATACAATGTGTAGAAGTCAAGTTCAATTGCCCTAGTTGTAGGAAAAACATGTAAAAATAAAGATATAAAAATGTATAAAAATAAATAAACAAAGTTACAAAGGAAAACAACTACAAAACGATATAATAATAATAATATCAATATACAAACAAGTTTTAAATTTTTATTTCTTTACAGTGCTGAACGCTGAATGCTGATCATTGAATGCTGAATGCTGAAACACGAAATGTTGATGAATAATCAAGCAATAACAACATGTATCGGCAACATGTGCCAAAGCAATAAAATATCAAACTCATAAAATAGACACATAAAAATATAAAAAAAAGAAAAAAGAAAAAATTATATTAAAAGAAATAAAATATAAAAGAATACAAAAATGCAATATATATTTAAACATTATATGTTGAGAACACGTATAAAAATAATGTAAAACAAGAATTTTAAAAATTAAAATATAAAAAAAGAAAACCAGAAAAAATAACGCAAAATAACGCTGCATGTAAAAAATTATTGCAACATTAAGAAAAAGTGTTGAATGTAATTGAAAATTGTGTTGAAAATTTTCTTTAATAAAAATAATAAAAGTTTTCAACACATACATTTAAAGGAAATTTATACATATACGTGCATATCTTTCGTACTATTGCAAAATAAACATGCACACATTAGCCGACTGATGAGTGTACACACATGCTTACACTTCAATACCAAGGCTGCTCACTGCTGACTGCTGACTACTTGCTGCTTATGTTGCTGTTGCTGTTGGTGTTGTTGTTTCTGTTCCTGACTTCAAATAATTGCGTGTACGTGTTAACCTAACACACAGCCGCACAAAGTGACGCCTGCCTGTATGCAACGAAATGTGTTAATATTGTGTTGCAGCAACAGCGCTACATAAACTTTTCAAATTAAGCAAACAGAAACGAAACGAAGCAAAAAAAAAAAACAAAAACAAAGGAAGCGGAAATGTTCTCTTCGGCGGATGTAGCGAAAGTGCGTCATGTGGTGCAACGAATATTGGTGCCTTGCGTTTTTGTTATTGGACTGCTGGGAAATTCTGTTAGCATTTATGTTTTAACAAGGTAAGCGCTGTAATTGTTGTTGTTGCTGCTGCTGCTGCTGAAGCTGCTCTACTCATATATTTATATTTATTTTATGTTATTTGGTTTTTATCGTAGCATATTCTGTAATTCTTGTTATTGCTATGTCATTGTAGTAGTGTAGTAATTGCAACATGCAAAATAGTTAAGACTAAAGATGATTGTCTATAGTAAAAGTGCAACTAAAATACAAATATCTTAAGTACGTAATCACATTTACAAATTGTTTGCTTTAAACTGTTAAGCAAAGTTTACTTATGTGTACTATATTATTAAATCAGGATTTAGTTTTATAATAAAATTATTATCAAGAGAATTCTTAAGGAAGTCCATTTATGTTTTGTACTTAAATATATAAAATAAATTATACACTGAAGATGTTTCACAAAGTAGACCGAAATATAACTAAATATTTCTTCTTAGTATCCATAGGGTTCTTAGTATCTTAGTATACATAGGGCCGCAACTAAAAATTTAACGCAGTTTGAAAAGTGTAATTTTTTATTTTATTTTAAAAACCCAACAAATATAAAAACTAATTATATAAACTAATTATATGTTTGTCATGTCTACGTAAAGCATAATATTATTGGACCAATAATTAGGATATATAATAGTTTTAAATAACTAAGGTTTGAAATAAATATTCTATTAAATAAGTTAAAAAATATATTTTGCTTAAAATTTTCTAAATATTTACTATAATTTTGACAAGGCAGATGAGCTAGCTAGACTGGGCGTCTCTTCTATTGAAAATCTTGTTTCAGTCTGTGCTGCTGATAGCAGCAACCGAAAGCTGATTTATAATCACTTTTTGCGACAGAGAAATAGGGAATAAGCTTGTAGTTCCTCAGCAACCAGATCAAGAACTAAGTGGATAATTAACTCCAACTATAGAACCTCTTACTTAGTACATAAATGCAAATATAAAGTATATAGGTTAATATTTGTTTTAACAGGGCACCTGCCTGTAGGATAGCGTCAGGACAAACTCGGCCTATCCTGTAGTATCTTCTGTAGTACATGTTTAACTATGATTAAAACCAGGATTAAGCTTTTGGGTGCCTCCTTCTCTAATACAGTAGGCGTTATTTTTGGTATTACCGTTGGCCAGACACTCGCATTTATCAATGTTTCCGGCTGGTTCTAAACTGACCATTCTTCCACCCACTATAGCAAGGAATTGTAGCAAGGAATTCTTAGCTAATTAAGGAGTATTTGTGCTTCTCTCTCCACTTCACTTCACTTTAACTAACCTAACATTTACAAGGAACATTTAAACGACTAATGATAGCACAGAAATTGTTGTTAGATATGATTAGTGCATATCATGTTGAAAGGAATCGTAAACAAAAAAAAAAAATATTTGATCCATGGAAAAGTCTCAAATGCCAGTCGTTTGATATCTAAACATTGTGATTCTAATAGGTGTTCCCATTTGTCCGATTTGATATCGACAGACTATTTCCCGTGGAGCTATTTGAAATCAAAGGTTGATATCAAAATATAATAATATAAAAAATAAAAAAAAGCACATTAAATATATAATAAGATCCAATCATATAATCGTTTAATATACAACAAAAAATTTTATAGGGAATCTAAAGTAATTTTTTAGTTTATATTGTGAGATGTATGTATTATAGTATTAATAATAATTTATTATTCCTCCAATAATTTAATCTTAATCTTTAATTTTATTTATGATTATTATTTTGATTCTGAAATTATTTGTTAAAAATGTTAATTATTATTCTTTTTGAAACTTGTTTGTAACTTTAAAGTAAAGAACTGAAATATTAAAGTGAAACACTTGATTCTTTTCTAGTAAAGTTTTCTTGTAATTTATATTCTGCCACTAGTTTAATTAATCCTAATTTTTATGGATTTCAGGAGACGTATGCGTTGCACAACAAACATTTACCTGACTGCTTTGGCTATTACTGACATAATTTATTTGACAATGGCTCTGCTATTGTCCCTTCAGCACTACGAAAATGTACAATATTATGAATCATACTGGATGTATTACGGAACTGTGGTTTGGCTATGTGATGCTTGCGGTAAGTTAAGACTGATTTATGTCTATCTAAAAATTTTGAAAAGTAAGGTTAAATGCTAGAATTGTTTTTTGTTACTAATTATGAGAAATGAAATAGCTTGAATTAAAATTTGAAAAGATTTGGAATGATTCTAACTTATAGGAGTGTATACAAGGTGTTTTCATTTTAAAGATAATATAACAAAATATGAAACGTAATATCAGTCAAGATATAGAATGTAAAAAAAAAATCAATCTAAAAAAACACTGTTTGAAATATAAGAATATCTAGTAATAAAATAAATTATAAGCTAATATTCTTTTGTAAATAAAGACGTTTTACATAAATATATAAAATTTATTTGTAATTTTTTAAGCAATATAAAAAGCAAATATTATCTAAAAATTTTTTAATCACAAAATTCTTCTGTATCCTTATACTTCCGAAATTTTTTTTTATCAATTTTTTTTATTACAATCTGTCAGGTGTGAATAACATTAAGTAATATTTATTAATATCTGAAATATATAATTAAGATCTATATTAAGAATATATTTAAGATCTGAAAAAAGAAAGGCACGTATGGACTATGCCCAGTGATATATCAGAATATACTTAAAATAATAATATGTGACCTACATATACATATCTTAGAAGTCTCTCGATGTTTTTTTTCTCAGTCTTGTAAAAGTGTTAGAGAGGGACATCAGATGTGTAACCAATGGGTTTGGGTGTACATATATGTGATGAGCGTAGTTCTTTATAATATGAGTTATTTGTTTCTGTATTGTCGGAACACGTAGTTGTTTATGCACTTATTTATTCCTTATATACCAAGGTGCATTTGTGATTATTCGTAGTGTTTTAGATTAAACACGCTGGATAATTACTAGGTTTGAGTCAAATGCAGTATACCATAATTAGGCTCCATAACTCCATATAGGTTTTAGTAAAGTTTTGTATATAAGCAGCTTATTGTGGAGTGACAATTTGGAATTTCGCCTGAGGAACCAATATAAGTTTCGCAATTTGAGACCCAAAGTCTTACGCTTTTTGAATATGTGTGGTTTCCAGGTTAGTTTACTATCTAGATGTATGTCCAAGTATTTTGTTTCTACAGTTTATGGTAATTAAGTATTGTTTATTAAAACAAGCGGGAACATAAAAATGAAATACCCTTTATTTGAATAAATAAATAAATTTTTACTTTTGTGTGATTAATCATACTACATAAAGCAGAAAAACTATAAATGTTTACAAAAGAATTAAGGCATTTATAATTAAAAAAAAAGATTTAAAGAAGAGAATTTTTTTTTGTTATAATATTATAATGTTTCTTCTGAAAATCATTTTATTCTTATAGGTCTAATGTAATAAATTGGTTACTTCTTGGGTTCGTCATTTAAAGTTAAACCTATGCTTTGCACATTTTCATATTAGTATTCTTAATTTATAAACTATTGTCATATATTAATAAATATTCATTTTAATTTATTTTTTCTATTTTCTTTTTCTTTTTTCATACGCAATGTTTTTAACATTAAATGCTACCAGCTGGGCTTTAATTTTCTCTTTAATCTTGTTTTATTCTTTGCTATTTCTGGCTAATGCTTTTTAGGTTTTCCTGCCAAGAGTTCTAATGTCTTTAGAAATAAAGTCAATATGTAGCGTTTTCAGAGAGTTGAGCATGTATCATATACATATTAGGCTATACTTAAATACATGTACTTATTTAAGTCCGATTACATTTATTCTTACAATTGGTGATTTGGCATATACCATAATATTCTTTGTGATTTGACATATATTATAAGGCAGTGGCATAATAAGGATTGCATTGTGCCATAAAATATTTTTTGTCAAAATTTTTCTGTAATTCACTAAAATAATTATGAGATTCATTAGCAGTTTAAGTTATGTAAACATCCAAAAGAATTTACATTTCTAATTTTACAATATTCATATTATTATTTTTTTATTCCTCACATCAACACATTTTTTTTTTCTCAAACACAGGAATTTAATCTACTGTTTCTTTTTTATTTTGACTTGCTTCTACATTGTTTTTCTAAATTGCATTCATTGAAATTTATAGTTAATATTAGTACTAAAACGTACCAAGAGCATCACAATCTAAAACGCTTTTAGGGAGTTACAAACTAAAATGCTTCAAGGATTGCATAGAACAAACAAAGAATAACCTAAGAATTATTACAGGATTACTAACTGGTTACCGTAGATTGAATAATCTACAATTAAGACTGTAGATACTGTAGAGAAGAGAGAGAAACCGTATATCATGTGTTAGGGGAGTGCTTGGCTTTGATGCAGAATAAAAGAAACATCTAGGAGGGTATTTCATGTAACATAAGTATTTAAGACTAGAAGAGATAGGACCTATGCTGTCTTTCATTAAAGAAATCGGACTTGGAGAAACACTCTAATCCGACTAAGGGGCACAATAGATCCTTCAGATCGCAATATAGTGCACTGTACTAATGATAATAATAGTATTAAAATATAAAAATATATCATATATTTTTTTTTCTTAATGCTACACTCTTTTTTTATTTTAAAAAAGTTATACCTACTTTTTGATATCGTGGTGCTCTTTGATATATAGATTTTCTTATAAACATTATAAATGGTTACTACATATCAACAATTACTTAGTAATAATTATTTAATTAATTACATTTTATGGGTTGATAAAGTATTTTTTTTTAAATATTTATCTTTCTGTTATTTTAAATTCCTTTTAACTGTTTGTTTTTCGTTTCTTATCTTTCGCCAGCATACATTTCAATATACATTGCTGTTTGTTTTACAATAGAAAGATTTATTGCAATTCGCTATCCGCTCAAGCGACAAACATTCTGCACCGAATCGTTGGCAAAGAAAGTCATCACAGGTGAGTACTGGGAATTTTTTGCTGTTAAAGTTGACATGAAGTGTGAAAAACTAGGACTTTGACACGTTGTTGCATATTTACATGATGCTGTGTACTTGTGCAACAGAATAATTTTAGTTTTTTTTGTACTTCTAACTTTCGACTTCTATCTTCACAAACAGGCGTGGCGCTTTTTTGCATACTATCAACAATTTCCACAGCCTTCGAGCATGAGTATCGCAGCGATACAAAGCTGATTGATAGCCAAGGGGGACCCTGTAATTTAACGTTGATGAATGCAAAAAAGACATTAGACTTCGATGCGATGTGGCCGTTTACAGGCAATGAACCAGTAATAGAATCAGTAACAGAGGCAGATATTGGAGCAGTTGCAGCAATAGCAACACCAACAGAAGTTGGATCTAAAATAGAAACAGTGAAAATTAAACGCAACGCCTCAATTGATATGCCAAGTCAGCATGTGGTGATACAACGAAGAGGTTGGTTAAAAAAATATACAATTGTAAAGATAGTCAAAAAGAAAGCTTAGTAAAAATTGTAGTAGCAGTTATGGAAGTAAAAATGGTGGCAAAACGTTACTGAAGTCCATTTAGTAATTGAACTTTTTTTTGTTAAGATATGGGTAAGGGATTTGTACTTCAAAGTGTCGTTGAGCAAACAGAAATACACAAACAATCAAATGAGAAATAGGAAAAAGCAGAATAAAACAAAACAAAATATAGAAGAAATATTAAATTTACGAATACTGAAATTGGAAATTTTTTTTAGCTACAAAATGCAATGTTTTAGGTTTATTTTATATAAAGTTTTTTCCTTCACATATTTTTTATCTATAACTTTTTTTTCGTTATTTGAAATGTTAACATAGAATCAGCAACACATATTCCAACTACTATGGCAACGACGGCAGGAGTGAAAGCAACAACAATGACAGCCACAACAACAGCCGCACTTCTTCAAGTCAACAACCGTGACGATCTTTTGGATGCAGATTTTCTTGGAAGGGAATACATATCCGACATGTTGCATATGCAAATGAAAGATACGACGGAGAATGGGTATTTATACAAGGATGTGATTTTGGAGGGAAATGACAGTGTCAAATTTGACATTGCGGATTATTGCCGAAATGTAAGTGTGTACGTGTGTGACTGTGTTTGTGGTTGCGGTCGTTTGCGTGACTGCTGTAATAAAGTTACGTGATCAAATAAGCAACTCGAAAATTGTGTTGACATTTTCTGATTTCCCGATTTTCCATTCACGTTATTTCCTTTTGCAATTTCAGTATATCTCAATAAATTTTATTTCATAAAAATTTTTTTTTCTAATATTTCATTATTATTACAGGTGACTTACTTCAAGCGTAGTTCATCTAGTTTGCTTGATAATGGTTTATATACACGGATTTGGTATCCATTTACTCTATTTGTATTTGTACTCATTCCTTTATGTGTGCTGGTAACATTCAATTGCTTTTTAATTATGTTGGTCAGACGTTCCAAGAATTTACGTGGTGAAATGACAAATGCCAGCAGCATGCGAAGACCCAAGGTGAGCGGGAAAATAAAAAATGTGTAAAAAAAATTTGTTTTCTAAATTATTTTTGTCTTTTACTGATAACATTATTTAAAATTATATGGGTTATTCAGCAAGAAATTTTATTTTTTGTAACAAATAACTTGATTCTATTGTTATACGGCCAGCTTCACACTAAGGTCTCAATATCATTGATATTTTAACAAGTGACTGATTCACTTGTTAAAATATCAAGTCGACAATTCGATTCACATAATAGTTTTTGGTTAATCCTTTCAAATATGAGTTGCAAAAATATCCAATAATTTTGATGTTCAGGGTGCTCTACCTTAACTGATTATGAATCAGTTGAAGCTAATAAAGACACAGTAAAAAAATTAATTGATGCACACCTTCGGATAACAATTCGTGTGATCGCTAAAATATTAAATTGATCGAGTTTGATTGCTTAAACTTGTGTCGTTGGGGTGATGTGTGCAATGAGCTTGTCCTATTGGGAATAAAAACTGTGTAGTGCTTGACGAATATAATGCAACACCACAAACAAGTTTAGTAACTGGTTAAACGTAAGTTGCTCAAAGTCAAACTCTCCGAAGTCTTCTTAAAGTGCCATGGTACATTCGCACGAATGACATGCTAAGAGACCTTAGAATAGAATAGACGGTCGAAAAATACATAAGGGAGAGAGCACCGAAGTTATTTGTGAAAACCGACAGGCTGTCCTACTTAGCACTATCTAAACTCAGAATAATCACTATCCGTCATCGAATAGTGACTGATCATAGATCAGTCATCGAATAATCACGAAGCTTTTGAGGAGCACATAAATTGGTCAGTGAGAAGGGTGAGACTCTGGAGAAATCCCTCAGCTATCAAAGAGTAAAAGTGCTCAGATGCATTAACTCGGAAAAGGCTCTATATAAGATACAACTATGATGAGAAACATTACTACACTCACTATATTCCTGAAATTTGGTTCTTTCTGATTATTATTTATACTTGGATGTATTATATTATTTTTGTTATTGTCATTTTCATTGGAGACGAAAAAGATGTGCTGCTTCATGAAAACAATAAAAGACCACAAATAAGTCTATTAACTGGGTAAAGACTTTCACAACTTCGATGAGATGCACTACATCCACTATATTCTTGAAAGCTGGTCAGAAAATACCAGATTATTTATACTGGTATCTATAAAATTTTTTAAACGTTAAAAACTTTGTTTCAAACAAAGGTCAAAAATCAACCGAATCAGTTCAGTATCTAGGACAGAGTCAACATTTTATGAGAATGTAGTCATGTTACTGCCAGAAAGATGGCAAAAGGTAGTTTACTAGAATGTTCAATATATAATTCTGTTCAATATTTAGTTACTATTAAAAACCGTCGTGCATTTCCTGTTAAAAAAAAAACAAACTATCTTACTTGTAGTCCAAAGAAATTATAAACGGACTATAAACTAATCAAGAAATTCGAATATTTCCTAAGACCATTCTTGATGAGTACTTGGCAATACTCCGAATAGCGTTGTATGGTCAGCCAAATTTCAATAATTGAAATAAAATTTTTGTTGCTGTCTTTTCTTTGTTATTCGAATCCGTCTAACTTTTAAATAGTTTCTTTTCGTCATAAAGAAGCGTCACTCTCGGCAAGAAAAAATTAACATTGCAAATTACTTCACTTTTACATCATTATAGTCATATGTTATATAATAGAGAACAATATCTTGTACTCTATAATAACATATATATATAACAAAATATAATATATATTATATATATTTTTTATAATAATAATTTATATGAAACATATAATGAAATAATTTTATTTTTAATTTACAGCGTAAATCAAACATTTCTTCAGTGTCTCAGGAAAATCGAGTAACAGTTACTTTGATAGCTGTGGTATTGCTTTTCATCATATGCCAATTGCCTTGGGCTATTTACCTAATTGTTTTGGAGCATATGCAAATCGATGCGAATTTGCAGAAGATAATTGGCAACGTTTTCAATTTCCTGGCTGCCATCAATGCTGCAGCAAATTTTTTTTTATATTGTGTGCTTTCGGACAAATACCGGAAGACAGTAAGGGAACTAATAACAGGATATAAATATAGACCGCAACGCAGCATACACACAAATGCAAGTCAATATACGCACACAAATATGAATGCAGCGAACGGCAGTCGTCGATATCGTGAAACCACAACATCATTAGTAATAAAATGAGTTGTTAAGTTTTTGCAATAGTATAGTAAGCTTTCTAGATTATTAAATAAATATAGATAATATGTAATAAAATATTTTGTAATTAACAAGCACATATAAGTGGTTCTAAGTATACTATTAAAAGCAAAAAAGAAAAACAATTCAAATAATTTTAAGCAGTCATAGTGTAACCTAAAAACGAACTAAAAGTTAAATAAATAAAAACAAGCCAAAGTGCCATATAGTGATATTACAAGTAGATTAAATTAAATTTAATTATAATTTTAATATAATTATTTTATTACAAAAACTTTGATAATAAGATGATTACATTGTTAATTATTAAAATATAATGTGAAAATAATTGTTATAATTCTTTATAAATAAAAAATACAATCTAAAAATAAATTTATATGCTAATTATGTACAAAAATATTTTGATGCAGTTATTTAATTAAAATATAAACATATTACATCGCTGGTGCCACGTAACGTATGAGTAATTTTATTAAAATAAATTTTTCATATTTCGATTGTGTTTCACTTTTTATTTTTTATATTATAAAGCACACTTGAAATATTTTAATTCTATTACAATATTTTTAATTATATATATAAGTGACCTTAAAATATATTTATATAGTCAGTTTTTAAATAATTAAATTTTAATTTGAAATTTTAAGCTAGTTTGTGTGCATTATGACAGCAGTCAGTGCTAGCGTTAACCTCATTTAATGCCTGACATTATCATAACACAATATAAGTTTAAATGACCCTTTTTCACTGACTTTGGACTGCAACTGCTAATAAAAAGCCATAAACTTGTTCCTTTACTTTTCGAACAATTTCTCCTTTTTCTTGTGCGCAATAGAGCAAGCAGAGAGGCTATTAAGTTGTGTTTAAAATTGTAGCACTGAAATCTTTGCCTTCTTGTGACCTAAAAGTAAAATATGATTCATTTGTCATAAATATTAATGCTTTTTGAATTATTTTAAGCATGTTTGAAGTGCTCAAATGTTTCAGAGATTCCAAGCTTTATAGATTATGTATTTCAAAGTATGACAATTATTCAAATATTAAATGCGAGCTTAACTTAAATGCTACAAATCGCATCTGCAACTTATATCTATGAATAAAATGGTACAAAAATAGGTTGAAAATGTATATTTAATTATTAATTCTATACTTACGAACAGTTATGTTAAGTAATTGTATGCATTATAACCTTCCGAACCTTTTCTAATTCATTTATATAATATATCATAGTATTTTTATACTTAACAGTCTTAACATAAAAGTACTTCAGAGATATTAAAAAAAAGAATATGAATTGTTTTTGTTGCTAAAGAAATTTGCAGAACATATGTTTTTTTAATGTAAAATTATATCCTTTACATTTGTTGTCCTCTACATTTAGTAAACATATCAGAAAATATACCTATGATTATTATATTAATTACATTATTGAAGAAGTTAATGCCCTTTGACAAGAAAACCCTTTCTTGTTAAAATAATTCTTGGATTTGATAATTTCTAATTATAACCTTCTTTTATATTGATTAAAGTTATTTCTTAAAAACAATTTGGTAAATATTTTTTAAAATAATGTTCTGACTATATAATTCATATCAAACTTTTTGTATGACTGATTACTTATTTATGTTTTTTGTTGTATTATAATGAACGGTATAAGTACAAAGATTAAACAACGAATTATCATTGTTAAACGCTTTTGCTGCCCTAGTCCTGCTATGAGAATAATTAAAACTAACGATATCAGTCTATATATTAAATTACTATTGTCTAGTAATTCGTTGACTGAGTTAGGTCTTAATAATATATGACGATGTTTCTGTAAAAAAGGTATTTGAGATGCTAGTTAGAGAAAAGGTCAAACCACTCCAGTACTATTCTTCCTGAAATAGTTTTGAACGTAGGCTAGTACCATATTTTAAATGAAGTTATCAAGTTAGGTGAGCATTAACCACACTAAATGTATGAAAATGAAGGTGGATCCGCAGAATAAATAAATAAGTAACAGAAAAATACAAAACGAAGATTAGTTTGCCATATGCATTTATATGATATATTTGATTATATTCATGAAATTAACTAGGAGATATATTCGTAAGCATTATTATTAAGTAAATAGCTTTTATAATGTAGGCCGTTAATAACAAATTTAATACTGGAAGTTTCAGTTGATTTACAAACCTTTTTATTATCTAGGTAGCTTCTGTTCTGGATCACTTTTTGTTGTGAACAGAATCAGTGAATCAGTAATCAGTGAAATAACATATGTTATGCCATTTATACTAATTAAAATGCTTATTATGTTATGCTAATTACAGTTTTTTTAGATCGCTAGTGCATAAGCTGCATCTGGAACATACAAGTTAAGTATGGCTTTGGGCTAATGAACACTGACTTTGAGCTTCAAATTGGGCAGGATACAAGTTCAACCCTTTCTACTTGCAGTCTCAAAAAATCATTCATGAATAATTGAATATAAGAAATAAATCCAAAAAGACCACCAATAATGGGTATTTGACAATACTGGAAGCAGCTGTATGATCACTCGAAAACTCAAATAAATTAAAAATAAATAAAAATTCTGTTGTTATAATTCACTACTGTTCGAAACCTCTTTATTTTTTTTGAATATAAACTTAAGTGATGTGATTGTAGTCGGGAGCATTTAACAGTTATTTAACATGCCTAAAAGATGTATAATATACTTGTTTAATTTTTTTAGAGGGATTTCTAAAAACTAATGTAAACTTCATATGAAATAATCTTATTTCATATTTTAAGTGCAAAATGATTCAAAATATTTTAGGAACGATGTATGTGTGTGCCACATATTGTAGTTTTCGAATTTTTATGCCTACATTCAGAAAAATAATTTGCTTGATTTAACCAGACTTTAACTAAATCTCAGGATAAAATGTTCTTACTCGACGATTCATGTTGGTTCAACCATATCACATATTGGTTTTCATATCTTCTTTACGACATGAGATATAATTTCTCTAATAAAGTGATCAGGTCAACTAATTTGTCATTAGATTATATTTTGCTGAATGTAGCGATAAGAATTTTGTACTTAAAAATTGTATACTTTAGTACAACAAGTATATATATGAAAGTCTATGGTTTTCATTTGAAAAGTTTAATTATAAAAATCTAATATAATAAGTGCAGAATAATGCGAAATATTTTAGGAAGGATTTAAACTTCAAGTACACAACCTTGTGTATGTCACAAACTGTAATTTTCAAATTTTTTACTTAACTTTAAGAAATTTGTACTTAAAAATTGTATATTGATACTATATTTTTAGTATAGAAAGCTAAAACATATTCATGTAGGGATAAAGTCAAATTAGATTTCTTATAACGCTTTCATGGACAAAATTATGCCAGTACTTTATTAACAAATAAACATTTCTTTATTTTTCTGTATATATTTATCAGTGATATTAATATATTTTTAATTATATGTATTATATACATTACATATATTTCCTACCTTAATTAAAGTTTTCTGAATAAACGATTATCTCAACATTTCCAAAGTGTGTTTGCTAACATAAATGATAATTGCGTTCTTTACACAAGTGTTATTTATCCTTAATGAGAATGCAAATCAAACCAAAACTTAAATACTTTCCAAGTACTTGAAATAATGTTCAATTAATTATTTCCAAATTTATCTCGAAACACAACAAATACTCGTAAAATAAAACAAAAATTTATTTTTCATTAATTTCTATGTTCTTTATCTGACGCGTCGGTAGCTGCTTAATAAGTTCTCGATTCCACTCCATTGTTGCGTGGTGTGTTGAATGTCCTGTTGGCCTGAAAATTTTGGTTTGTATTTAAAGTGGATATTTTTGTTTATTAATAAACCCTTAGAATTATAATAACATGAAATCACTTAAATAAAGTAAACACAGAATGAAATAAGCTTGCCTCTGCGGTGGTAACGATAATTAATTATGAACGAATAACTGCAATTGAGCAACTTCCCAGGATACAATGTAAACAAAACTTAACGTTACACATTTAATTTGTGCTTTGTTTTCCTTGAAGGTGTATAGAATTCTTTCGCCTGTATTTTTTTTCTGTGGACTGGAGCTATTGGTGTTGCTCTTAGTGTTGGTATTTTAGAATTGCCTTTGATTTATGGCCATCGCTAAAGACACTGAAGTCAATGACACTGTACATTGTTATAGAAAGGATCATTAATTTATAAGTGGTTGTGGTTGTCGTTGCTATGTCGGCATTTAATTGAGTTGAAGTGGAAATAATGATGGCAATTTCTGTTACTGATTGCTAGCTATTGATTTCGACTTAAAATTTAAATTGCAAACATAATTCACCACAATCAACAAACGCGTGCAACGGTGCGTATGAGTGTTGTTAAATACTTGAACTTGTTTAGAGTTTGAAGAGAAATTCTTAAAATTTCTAAAATTAAACGAAATTTTACAACAATTTAATTATTGTTTTAGTTATAGTTTCAAAAAACATTGTTCATGACGAGTATATAAAGTTTATTTATTTGTGTTGTAAAAATTTTACTTTAAATTAATATTTTAATTTTTTTTTTTTAAATTTTTTCAAATTTTATAAAAATTTTTTAAATGACAAAATGTTTTATTGAACATAGTTTTCAATTATTATTTTAACTGCCCATTTATATTTATAGAAGTCAATTTGTTTGGACATTTTTATGCCCTACTAACTGAGAAGCCAAAAACCGAGATTGCCCCCTTATGCCTTATTAGGTTAAACTGCTGTGATATGCCAAATGTAAATAATGAGTCACAATAAAACCTTTAGTTTCTATGGCGTGGCCATTGCGTGGTAGAGTCAAAGCAGCGGGTGAGCTTAACAGTTACCTTCAAAATTTGTTTGAAACAAATTTTTGACTGAAAACTGCAAAAATAAGATTCCTAACCAATTCCCCTGGGATATTGGCAGTAACTTTATTGTGTGTTTCAATTTCAGTTGAAATTTACGGTCATAAAAACAGCAGGATACTGGTTAAAATGTATTTCCCTTTGTATAACTTCTCCTTGTGAATTTTTGTACATTTTTTTCATTAGACCTTAAGGGAAATTGTGTCACAACTGCCTTCCAAAACTTTTCATATGACAATTCGAAAATGGTTTTATGCTTCACCACTCGGTATTGATGTTTGGCCACAAAAATTTTTATAATTTCAATACCTCAACAAAGGCAGCAAAATTTTGATTTGAAACGTATGTATATTTCTGATATTATATGTATATATATATT